ATAAATGAAATATTAAATTCAAAGCTTTATTATAAATGCATTTTTTAAAACTCAGTTTACAATTATTAATTTAGGCTATGATCAGATCAGCCGAAGAGCTCACTTTTCACAACTCCGCTTTTTAAGACCTTTTTTTCCCCCTCCATCATTGATACCTCTGTAAATTCGATAATTATTTAAAAACACAAAAATGAGATTCAGACCATTCATAACATCGACTTCTAGCCGTTAAATGAGTTAACTTGTCAGCACAAATTGCACTCCAACCGCTTGTTCCGCGTGTATGAAGTCAAATGATGACATTATAATACAGTTGGAGAAACATGCTGACAGAAAATGTTCAATTTCTCCCTTTGTCTCCATCTTTGTCATCGTGCTTGCGTAACGTAAAGAGAACTTTTAACTGAAATTATAGTGCAACAGCTTCATCTTGTGGTCATTATATGAAATGACACTGCTATTTGGACTTGGTCATACATTAGGCCTACGACATTTTCGGAATGCTGAGTAGCCTATAAGCTTTTTGGACTCCAATCGCTGTTGGATGTGCCAGTGTTTTAAATATATACTTATTCTCATTCCATTTTAGCCGGCAGAAAATAATTTTAAAAAATAATTAGAAGCACTGCACATATATAGCCTATCATGCCAATGGCGTAATCATATTTATTAGAATTATTGCAAACACATTTGCATAGACTAAAAAGTTTAACATCCGCTTTGCATGCATTTTAGCACGTTTAGCCACTATGACAGCGTGCAGTAGTGTCTGATGTATAGTTTATGGAATATAATCTATATTTGGCCATCTAGAACCAGTCCCTCACATAGCTACAAATCTTGGTGCAGCACATGGCTTCTTATTAAGCACTTGTTTCTTACTAATCATTGACAAGGATACAAAAACTAACTGACATAATAGGCAGACTAGCCTATCCTAAGTCAAATTCTACTTGATCGTATAGCACAACAACACAGAAAAGATCTGTGATACCTTTTAAAGAATTAAATTCAAATTTAAATAATTTAAAAAGGCCAGTTATCTGGTTTAGAGCTTGACACATGAGTGATGAGGTTAGGGAATGTCTGCATTGGTCACATGTGGTGGTAATAGAGCAGTGTTTAGTTTCTCTTTGGCATATGGATCTGCAGCATCCTAAATCATAAATGTTCACATCCAACAGAGAGGGAGGCACCCAGTTGTGTCAATAGAGGGTCTTGACTGGCTTAATGCTCGTTTCCCACAACTCTTTTAAGCACCATTCAGTAGCTTGGCAGCAACTCAGAGTGGCATGAATATGTTATTGTTTAAAAATTCTATGCAACAGTGCACTTAAAGTAGAGAAAGAAACAGAATAGGGTTTGATTAGCCTACTATCTTCAGACATTCAGATTAACTGTTTATTGGAAGATTCCAGTCGTTTTAGGTCAACATTATCTTCACGTATCTGGTTTTAATTTGACTTTGTTTCACATTGGTTGGAAAGCAATGCACCACGCAACATAAGCTCCATCTTGACATTTCTTTGTGATTACGCTGCCTCCTACTGGCGAAAGAAAGTCAAACCCCAACAAGTAGCCTACGCTTTGGAGGTGTATACAATCGTAGGATGAAAAAATGAAATACACGATGTCATAAACCAATAGTGTAAGGTAACTGTTTTCCTGATTCCAAAGGTCAGAAAGATTAGCAGTTAAAAGGAAATGATTTATGAGAAGCACATTTAGAGAACAACATTCTGCATGCGAGAATTAAACATTTGATTTTCACAAATATCGCTTGAGTAACATTACAATTGTATTACACTATTCACTATTTTATTGTATTACATTATTTCCTGTTTAATATACCTAGGCTAAGACATTATGGGGAAACCTCGTATACGTGCTCTTATGTGCATTTGTTTAATTACATTTGTTACGTAGGCTATAATTTGTTAAATATAGCATACGTTCCATTTTTTTTGCAATAATTGCCATAATATTCAATGCTATAGCCTTTTTTGAATTTTCTTGATTTCTTGCCCTCATGATTTAGTTGAACGTCTATGCACGAATTCCAAAGCGTTTAAAGCGTTTTTTTTTCTATATATATATATATATATATATATATATATAGGCTATACACAATTGACCCAATGTTACAAGCAAACTTCGCATGAAGCTTATATTTAAACAAAGCTCTTTTTTCTCTCTCTGATTTTGCAAAAATACGTTTTAAATATCCTTCTTCACCGAAGACAACAAGGCAGTACATCTGACATTCATAGATGAAAACATGCTGCTCTGATCAGATATGTAGCTTAATGCATTTGAACTTGTAATTGTTTGCAGAACTGGCATGGACTACTCGCACAGTTGTAGGTTTGTCTCACCGCCAAGAAATTCGCCTACGCATCTTTTGAGGATTACTTGCAAAGCATTAATGGTCAACCTTTTGTCTCCAGCCTCTGCACAGATGTTTTTTTTTTTAATTTATAAAATTATCTATTTTCAGATTCACATTAACAAATCCTTCCTCGTATAGTCTACCACCAAGGTGCAGGTTATTTATAAAATGACACTATAATGCTACGAAAAAATGATGCGTGGATTCGAAGTTCAACATATGTCGCTAGTCCAGGCATGTGTGCATTTATTAAAAAATATATTTTGTATAGTCCAGTCGATATTTCCCATTCTTCCTGCACCAAAAACAAAATCTGCTGATCTGACCAAAGAAACTGTTAATTATTCAACCACAATCTTGAACTTTAAGAGGAAAAAACTGAATTAGCTCACTCCCCTCTCCCTACACACACCAGACACATGCTATTTAGAGACGGCTTGGCAGTAAAACTTTACAGCAAATGGAGTGGCTTGGTTGTCATGGCTACAGTTATACGAGTTTGACCGAAGATCCTCTCACCATTTGGAAGGGGCCAGCGATTCTGGTTGTGATTATAAAACTGGAATGTGTAGAATCTAGGAAAATTCGACAAGGTTCCCTTTTTTTCTTTCTTGCTATTTGTTAGTGAAAAGGAGTCGATGAAGAAAGGCACACGGTCTCTGGGATGTTCTTAAAAAGCGTAAGGCATGTCAGTTAGAAAATGTGGAATAGTTTTAGTGCAGCACGCCAGACAAAAAGTAAACAATTGCTCGAGACAGGTGATGTCAACGTCAAACCTGCAAACAATCATTAGAGGGACATGGAAAGGCAAAGGCCTTCTCGCGCCGAAGAAGCGATTTGGATTTATGAAAACCTATTCCATTTTTCCATTATTTTTGTCCAGTTGTGAAAGATGGTCGGCTTGAGAACAATGTAAGTAAGGCTACATGTTTACATGCACTGTTTTGTAAATTGTTTATTGTATATTTTTACAATTAGCCATGTCCAGATTATGAATGTGGGCCTGCTCTTCTGTTAATGACACATCCAGCTTTACCTTTTTAATATGCATTTAGCTAAGAAAGATTATGAGGATGTGTCGGTTAAACATTTGAGATTTTGTGTGTGTGTGTGTGTGTGTGTGTGTGTGTGTCATATGCGTCGTCAAATTAAACCTTTTTTTTAACAAAATATTTTCTTATCTTTTTGCACAGAAATAATTACACAATACAGAATTGCTTTACACATATTAGGCAATACCGACTGCTGGATATTTGGCATGTAGACTAAAAAGACCTAAACGACACCCAGTAGGTTTGCTTTAGATAATATTAAGTAGGCCTACATTATTTGTATTTTATTTTTAAACAAATGGACGTTGCGCGCGAACCTCATCCACAAACGTGTTTCGTTCAACCAGAAACTATAATGAAATGTTTATTTTGCCGTCTAATATCTAGTGGTTTGTGTCATAAGCAAATAACTAATTTGGTCACAAAATCCAATCTTGAAATTGAGAAAGCACGTGCTTTGGCCTTGAGGTTCACGTGCTTTCATTGCGCAAAGAGAGCAGTCCAGTCCAGGCCGGAATATTATTCTTATAATATTAATATCTAATAATAATATTATGCGTAATATTGTAGGCTACAATTTAAGATGTAGTTATTTATTTATTACCAATTGTAACATTTATGGATTCATGGCTTGATGTTAATTTTATTCATGACGCATTTAAATAATTGTTTGTCTATCAACATTCTTTTTTACCATGTGAAGTTTAATCGACTTCACATCTCGTCATATCTATAAAAAATTTAATTTAACATTGTTGATCAAAATCTAGATATTAGGCCTACATTGTTAGGACAAACTCGTCCTTAATATTTTAAAGCTCTAACTTTATAGAGCGTTTGCTATAATATTTTGGTCACAGTATCTTGTTTTTATGAAACAAAACTTAGATTCAACTAAGCCATTTTACTGAAAAATATTTGACCAAAAATAAACGCTACCAACAAAGGTTGTTATTTTACCTATAGAAACCGTTGTGTTCGTCTTATAGAAAACATGAATTAATTTGTAAAAGAAATCTAGTCACATAAATGCAATAAGCATAAAGCTGCAGTTATGTAAGAAACCAAATTAATTAATTATTGACAGCATTTATTTCTTATTATTATAGTATACATTTATTATTATTATCATCATCATCATCATCATCATTGGTATTATGATATTATTATATTATTAAATATCGGCAGCTAATAATTTTGTATTACTGTGAATAATAAAAATAACATTGTGTCTACTTTTGTTGCTCATTTTAGACAGTCTCAGATTGTCTAACAATATAGGCTTGGTTAGGCCAATAATTTTTACTTTTGATGTCAGCAAATTAAATGAATATATTTGGTTAAATATTTATTAACAATATCAAATACCTCACGCAAACCCCAGTGCTCAACCCAGTATTCTTTTTAAAACATATCGTTAATTTAGAATTTGCAAAGACAGTGCTAAAATTTACGAACTTTCGTTCGCTTTGACTATAATGTTTATCTTCAATACGACGGGCCCTTTTGCCAAAATTTCCCCATGGTGTAGTATTGTTTTTTTTTGTTTTTTGTTTTTAAAAAAAAGGTGAAATCGCAATGATTTGGGATGGAAGCTTGATAAAGCACTTGAATTAAGCAGTTCTGCAAGGGGAGGAGCTTGCCCGTGAACCCCAGTCAGTCCCAATTGAGCTCGCAGCAGAAGGAAACGTACAGCGCCATGGTTGAAAAGCCAATTGTAGGGGACACTGTTGCCTTGGCCCAAAATATGCTCCAGCAATGTCATGCTCCAAGAGTTTCTCTGCGGTGATTGTCACACTGTCTGAAGGGAAATCTTTCGATAGCCCAGGTATAAAGGATCCTTTGCGTGGGGCGGACGGAGGCTCACGTCCCTAGCTGGACTGCCAAGTCCAAAATAGCGGGACCACCCCAGTGTGTTTGATCGCCTTCCAGAGAGTAAAGCAGATTCAGAGTCAGACATCCCCGGTTCTGTAAGCCATGGCTCTGCCGCGTCACCAGTTTCTCCATGGAGCTGTGAACTGGGATGGAGAGCACTTGAGTCCCGTCCAGGTTCCTCATGTCAGCGCGTGCCCATTCACCGCTTCAGGTCGAAAAGAGGACCCCTTCTATTTTACTCTGGACCCGACAGGGCAAGCCAGGCAGCCTCTCGACATCTCCTCCATCAGCAGATTCGTGACAGATATGGGCTCTCTGAATGGTACGGACAACCATCGCCCAGAACCGTCTTTTTACTCCGGACACAAACTCTTATCACTTAATACCGACATGGATCCAGACAGCCCGACGCAGTCTTCCCACTCAGACTCTCAACAGTTACCCAGTCAGTCTTTCTCCACGCCATCGTGGTCAGAAACTGACAATAAGCCTGATACTGCTCATTATTTAGCGATGGAAAGCACTAAATACCCAAGTCAGTGGACTGAAAGCAGAACCAGCAGGAGCATCATCACCACCACACTACGCATCAGTCAGAGAAGTAGAGACGACATAGAGCCGAATAATCTCCAGACAGACTTTACCGAGCGCGATAAAACTAACAAAGAGAAGACTCAAGGTGGGTAAACAAGGTTAAAAGATATAGCGGTGGAAAAAGCAAGCCTGTCAAAGACCAAAACAAGGTTTTATTTTTTCCTTTCCGAAAGCAATTGAAGGGTGTAGCCATTGAGACACAAAGAGAACCAGGGCTCGAAAATGAATTTATTGCACCGAATTACCCTAGACAGACTAAATTGCACGTCGTTTCTCAGAACATCAAAACAGCGGAAGGATCCATTGTCAATTGGAAACTAGTGTGGGCCAGGTGTGGTAGGCCTATTGCTTTAAGACATTTATTATTAAAGAAGTGAAAAGAAGAAATAAGGCACTTTAGAACTGGCCGTTTAGTAGCCTAGAATTAGGGATTGGTGTAGCATAAGGAGAATATCTCTAAAGATAAACTAACGTAGATTGAGAACCGACATTTAAATAATAGGCTATTTTATTATTATCTTTTTAGACCAGTACAGCCATTACTGCGTTTTATGGGCTAAAAAACGTGTCTGATGCCTACATGTACACTAAGATGTATGTGTGTGTGTGTGTCCTGGCAAACCCTACACATGGGGACAATATATATATATATATATATATATATATATATATATATATATATATATATATATATATATATATATATATATATATATTGGTCCCTATGAGGAAAACGGCTTATAAATCATACTAAGTGATGTTTTTTTTTGAAAATGTAAAAATACTGAACGTTTTCTGTGATGTGTAGTTTTAGGGGTAGGGTTAGTGTAGTGAGAATATACAGTTTGTACAATTTAAAAATCCTTATGTCTATGGAAAGTCCCCATAAAACATTAAAAACACAACGTGTGTGTGTGTTTGGTTTAGGTTTGACAGTTCTTTGCTATTTTCCACATATCTTGAATGTTGTTATGCATGCAGTTTATTTGTTTTGCCCAAAATGTGCAGTATTTTTGTATCACTTTTTTTTTTTATTATGAAAAACATGGGGTTATCAAAACAGTTGAAGATAGAAGGTTATTGAAAGTTACATTACAAATATGAAAACTTTAAAGGTGAAAGGTTGCTTTTAAAGCTTTTGGAATGTGAAGGCCAATATTTTTAATTTATTTTATTTTGTTAAAACTTTTTTTCTTAGGATTCATCCATTTTATTTTTTGCAAAATATATACGATTTAAGTCACTTTAGCTGAGATAATTGCAACAAACTGAACTACAAAATGTTTATTCGTCTTGTGCATCTTTCTCTCTTTCTCCTCATGTGTTTCTTTCCCTTTCTCCCCCTCTCACTAAGCAACACAGACACAGTGCGAAGTCTGTGCTGACATTATTTCCTGTCATAAAATGTCGGACACTGCCAGGTAATGGCCGCGAGCGTCAAGCTCAGTGGCTATTTGCTAAGTGTGAAATGCGACCGAATAATAGCCTTGTCTCTCTTTCTCTTTTTATCTGAAGACGTGACTTTAGAAAACGCTGCAAATGGCTGGCTGTCGGCGAAAGCAGGGAGGAAGAAGCGATGTCCTTACAGCAAATACCAACTCTTAGAGCTGGAAAAAGAATTCCTCTTCAACATGTACCTGACTCGCGAGCGCCGCCTGGAGATTAGCCGGAGCATAAACCTCACCGACCGCCAGGTTAAGATCTGGTTTCAGAATCGCAGGATGAAAATGAAAAGAATGACTCGAGAACACCGGACAAGGGACCCTGGCGCAAGTTTCACTGTCTAATATGTTATGTAAGACGGTTAAAAAGAGCGCACAAATCATTGCAGCTATCATTCGTTGCAAGTGGAATGATGCAACTGCTACTTCTGATGGATTAACGGGAGGAAGTGATCAGTCAAAACTTACTACGGTGTTTCACAACAATGCGTGTTCCATAAGGCAAATGTAAGGGAGATCAATTTAAAACCTCGCATGAAGAACAAAAAAGTGTAAAGAAATAAGGAAAGACGTCTTTGGCCATTTTGTGTAAGCTTGTCATATTCACGTAGGCCTGGTCAAAGTTTATTGGTGTCGTTTAAGTTCTGGCCTGCTTTTTAACGACCTTATGTTTTGTAATTTTCGATAGGCTATCTTTAATTTTAATTTTATTACAGGTTATAAGTGTTACACCGGTTGTTTTCTTCTTTAGACAGAAGCCTAGCTATAACTAAGAATAGTTGCGGACACACTCGAGTAAACAAAACTCAAAGGGATTCCGTTGTCAGAGGAGCTGTTACATCAAGCACAGGTAGCTACTGTTGTTTTGTTTTTAATGATGTTTGTTGTCTAGTCGTTAGATTGGCTCGAGTGAAAAGGCACAAATGCTCTTCTTCTTTTGAAGCATGGTTGACTTTACCTAAACTGTGATACTTAAAATTGCTGTGTTTTGAAAAGCTGTGCATTTTAAATAAAAGATTGCCTTACGATGACGTTTATTTGGTATAAGCCCGTGGCCAGTTTGAAAATGACCCAATTTCTAATTATGTATTTCATCGGCAGTGTTTCAATTTAGTGGTGTGACAGTATGTTGTGAAAAAAGTAGACATATAGTGATCAAATTCAAAGGTTGTCAAATAGAATACAAGCTTTGAATATTAAATTAGGCCTACTAGAATTTTTCCAATATTGTTTTATACAATTCAAGAAATTATTCATGACAACCAACCTTTCATTACGTTTTCTTTAATCTTACAATTAAATGTGAAGGCATTTGGCAATTGTAAAAAAAAGAACAATTCCATACCTGTAATTACGATTTTGAGTTGATTGTTATTATTTTATCAAGATATGTATAAAACGATTTTGACTAGGCCTAATTGATCTAGGATGAATAGATTATTACAGACAAGAAGACATTTGAGTTTTATTAGGACAAAATGTTTTGAAATGTAATTTGATTGATAGTTGTTGTCCTAACACTGGCTCCAAAAGTATATTGTTTTTTATATATATTTTAATTTTATTAAGCTATAGGGTACATCATTTTTAACCAGATAATATATAACGTAAGTGAATCAGATGCAAATTATATTGACTCTGCATGGGATCAATTTCAAATGGCATTTGAACTTTAAAAATTAAGCAGAAGTTATATTTACGCATTGGATTCATTTTACGTTCTGCTTTCATCTACACTGATTAAAAAATTTCAGGTTTCCATTTGAATGGGCGAAAAAAATATTCTGAGCGCTTTCTATGTGTAATAAACTTTTAACCGGACATAATGGAAAAGCATGTGAGCGATAGGCTGGAAACGTTTGGAATGTTAATGTGCACTGTGAATTATATTTATTATTAAATTTGTATTGTATTATGAGATGTGCTATATTTTTGTAGGTCTCAATTAATTGAAGATGTAATGTATTTTTTTTTTTTTTTTTTTTTTACTTTTGTTCCACGCTGTCTGAGAGTTTAAAATGCGTAAGAAAGGCTAACCCTGAACATATGCTGCTATTGCTTCACTTAATACAGTTCCTCCTCTTTTGTCTTAGCGAGTCTTTGCTTTGGTGAACCGCCATGTTGAGATGGGACAATCCCCAACGTCATTGGCCAGGCAGGGGCCTCTTTTTACAACAGGGGGCAATAGACCTTTTTATTGCCGACAGTCTGGAGAGAACCGGATATGCTTGTGAACTTAAATTACTTTATTTTCAAGCAACGTCTTTAAACAATTCTCGTTATTGCAGTAGGCTCTCTGTTGTCTGCAGTGGGTCAGAGTGTTTCAGTTGATTTCTTGAAATGTTAGCTCTAGTGCCCTCTAATACGGTTCCTCAGTTAAACGGTGTTGTTGGAAAGGACATATAGCACTGAAATATGAGTGCTCACCTGGTTCAGTACTTTTGGACGCTAGACTGCTGGCAGCCTTTCAGGGTCTTGCCTTTGAACACGGAGAAGACCAAGCTGGTCTGTGATTTAGGTAGTTTCAAGTTGTTGGGCTGTACGTTTAATTTCACAGGAACCTGAAACTGCCTGAATTGCTCCAGTTAAACGCACCATTGTTAGTTCGCCATGGACTGAGGATACAATGTCACCTTTACTGATTTAATAATAGCCTTTAGGCTATTTGCTAATGAGCGATTCTTACGGATCATGCTATTGATGCTAATGCTAATATTGCAGCCAAGACATCGTGTTTTGTTTTTCTTTGACAGATTCCAAACTAAATACCTGGCATTTACAGAATATTAATTTCCAACTATCACTGATATGTATTTTTAAAGATGAACACTTGGCTACAAGCTGTAGTTTGTAAATCATTTCACCCACAGCAGCATTTCTTCGAAAGTTTTTCCATTTTTACAATGGTCTGTTTTTACTCCGCGCGGCGAGTTGAGTCCTGTACAATTTTAAAACACATTTTAAGTTATAGAAATTCTAATACAATGCTCAATTATATGTTAGACTATTCTATAATATAATATTTCGAACATTTAATAATTAATTGTGATCACCTATGAAATTCTGAATATAACATAGGCCTACACGCATACAAATTTCATAGGCTATATTTTTTCCAAACACCTGATCTATAAACACGATACTGCCTCCAGATATCTGTGTAGAAATTTGGTTTTATATTTACGTTTGTCGGTTTAGGTGAGTATTATTTGTACTTATCTGATTTGGTGACTGCCGTCTCTCTGGTTTGTGTATTTTCACATAAAGCTTTGGATGTTAGGCCTACTGCCTGCATTTTAATTTTCAACAGATCGTTAAAAATACAAATAATTGTAAAATGTTCATTTTAATATACAGAGAACACTAATTTTGCTAAAACAATACAATCTTGACACACACACACAGGCGCGCATATATATAACAGTTTTTTATTATTTTTTTTAGTCTCAACACTTAAATATTTAGAATTTAGTAATATAAGTTTATAAATAAAATACGTTTAGAACATACAGTTTTTGTCGTTTTGGAGGTTGTTGTGTTAAGAAATACACAATTAATGACTAGAATGTTTGCCATATAGGCTTTATTATATAATAACTTTGATTAACTCATTGGAGCAGTTTCGAAGAATTTGTAGGCCTATATAAATCCTCTGACATTTACATTTGGTAATTTCAGTTAACGTTTGCAGAGTGCCTGCTTGTGGTGGCTAAAAAAAATAGCGGGAAACAATATTCTGACAATTAGTCAAAAGGCTATCATTGCTGAAATCATTGATATACAAGCGAAAACTATAGCATTTGTATTTATTATTAACGAATGCTTACAATTGGAGCCCCACACAAAAAGCTCTGCATGCAATTAAAGGTGAGACGTGCAATTTGACCTTCCAGTTAAGGTCCACATTGAATAAAAGAAGAGACGTGCTGTTACAAACAGTTATGCAACAGAGTCAATATTAAGGCTTGCATGGTTCCTATACATTAATCTATTTTTTGATGATGCGTTGAGTAGGCCTGCTTGAATAAATCTGAGGACAAAATATCAAACATAGCCAGACTGTGGACAAGATAGGCTACTGAGTCATGCACAACAACTCAAAGACCTTAACTAGGGACCTAGGGAGGCTATAACGATATTCAAAAATTAGTCCTTACATATTAGTCTTGTTAATAGTTAGGCTACATATTTGCTTATTCGTGCTCTCAGTATTTTGCCTCTCAGTGTTGCTATACATTTACATTTGATTGAAGTATATATAGCCTATATATATATATATATATATATATATATAGTCTCTCATTTGTTTATTTATTTATTTATTTATAAGAGTATGTGGAATATAAATAAATAAAATCAATGAAAATGTTTTTTTTTTCTGAAGACAGCTAAAATCAGCACTAAAATAAACACTGAGACATTATACATCTCATTTTGCTAGAATATCACTTCATAAACTTTAAATAGCTTGAAAGGCCTATATGGTATATGTTCCACATTAGCCTATTTAATTATTCCGGATTCAATATCAATATTATGTAATGAAATACGATCTAAATCGATTTAGGATTAAAGTGTAGCATTCAATTTGAGATTGTGTTTCCCTCTGTGTTATTCCAACAGAAGGCAGAGTTTTTTTGAATTCATAACTGTGGCAATGCGCCGCTGAAGTTTTTGTTCTCCCCCTTTTTTATTTTATTTTTAACAGGGTGTTGTTAAATGCTAGCTAGGTTGGTTTAAAACGGCTAGGTTGTGATTTAAGTATATAGCCTTTCCTGATGTAATTACCACTTTAGTGGTTTTATTCGTTCTATAGCGCAACTTATTGCACAAATGTAGCCTATCTCATTATGCAATGTGTTTACGCATGGTTACGCATGTGGTTAATAAAATTAGCCCGAAGCCAAGTATAGCCTATCTAAAGTCACAAAGAAATAAGATGGTAAGATGGTAAGTTGCTTTAATTGTCTTTTTTAAACTTTTTTTTTTTACTTAACTCTGTCTATGGCTCTGTAACTGTAACAAAATGTGCTATTGGTCCTTTTGCTGAAGCACAACAGTACCATATAGACTGGATCATTCATTTTAAAAGGGAAAACTGTTTATTGGACACGACCAAGATGCATAGCAAGTGCTGAAATCACTGCATTATTGATGGTCCCAAGACATTCACAACAGACAGTGAAATCCTCTCAAAAACGGTTTACCTTTTTACAAGCGTAATTCAGAATTTCTTCCACAAAATGTTGCAGAGAGAGTAGAATGAACGTGTGTGTATTTGAATAAAGCATCAGAGTGATCAAATGGGAAAAGAAAAATCTGTTTATTTTGAGTAGGCTATGTGAAATGAGCGACTGGATGGAATACTGCAGCGGAGTTGTTCACGGTCCTCGCCACAGGCAGTATATCAGGCCTATAAAAACCAAAGCTGCCTGATGTAGTATTTTATTATAGTATTAAACGACCAAAAAAGTTCAAGTAGTTTCTTCCATAAATACAAGGGGATTGTCGCACGGTGGTGTTTAATACCCTCGTTAAGAAAAAAATGACTGTTAATTTCCCAATAAAGCTGTTCATTATCTCAACGTACTCCTATTACTCCAAGAAGGAAGAGGTTTGCTCCTTGGAGGTTTACAAGTTTAAACACGTGGGGGGTATAAAATATTTTAGGGAAAAAAAGAACTTTATAAGCAGACGTCACTGCCTTAATTTAGTTTTTGTGAATTCCTGTTAAAATCTCTATAAATTGTAATGAAATAATTGTTGTCATATACATTTTTATCAAGTAAATATGATAAAGCTTTCATTCAGCTCGTATGATGTAGATCACTTTATAATACCACATCAATTCATTTGGATTTTTTTTATCTTAGCCTACTTATTATTGTGGGCCATTGCACCCCGCATATGCATTTTTATACACAACGTCAAAAACGTTTCATAATTTAGGCTGACATTTTCTCGACTGCTTGTAGATATCTGGAGATATATGGACACACTCCCATTTTGCATATTGCATAAACAAGACAATTTATTTAGATGGGAAATATAGAGAGCTCGAGAGGAGGAGAGCTTCGTACAGCCTCTTGGCGGATTGATTTACACCCCATTGACGCTTTATCAGGCTCGCGAAAAAAGTCTGACCAATCAGTTCGCTCGGAGCGCACACCATAGCAGCCCGGCTCTACTTTGTTGGCGAGCGAGTAGAGAGGAGTACCGTAAAGAGGGGAGTAAAGCACATTTCTATTGTACATGTTTTCCCTTTAATGAACAGTACGTTATATAATGTCCGAGAATGTCCATTTCTGGAACTCTAAGCAACTACTATGTCGATTCTATCATAAGTCATGAGGGAGAAGATCCGAACGCGTCCCGCTTCTCCAATGTACAGTACTCCAGCGCTAGACAACCGGGACCCGGCGAGCATCCCGAGTTCCCCTCTTGTAGCTTCCAGCCTAAGCCTCCAGTGTTCAGTTCGTCATGGAGTCCATTCAGTTCCCACGCGTCCAATGGCTTACCCGCGGTCTACCATCCCTACATACCGACGCAGCCAGTGCCTTCAACGGATACTCGATACCTCCGCACATGGCTCGACTGTGCACCGAGAGCAGAGCCGCTACCCGCGCAAGGACAGGTCAAGATGGAGCCGCTCCTGGGACATCTCGGGGAACCACCAAAACTCGTCGGGCAGCATGAGTTTATCTTGGAGTCCTCTACAGCACGGGAGATGAATTCTGGTCACAGCGCCGGATTTGAAGACAATAAGGACATATGCGAAGGCAGCGAGGACAAAGAGGGACCGGATCAGAGTAAGTTATAAACCTAGGAAGTGAACACTCTGTAAAGCGTTTAATGCTGTCATAAAACTAGAACAAAGCAACGGAGAGCAACAGACACCTCACGCAGCCAAGTATCATCATGTGGGATTTTCCAGTTTTCGCTAGCATATTTTAAATATGCATATTTCGCTCTTTTAAAAATCGAATCTGTTTTTCCCAGATTTTTATAGCATGGCTCTGATTTAGCCGTGCTGTATAGGCTATGTATGGCATCGCTGGCGACTGTTTTGATTTTTGCCCATTAGGAGTCATGCAGAGATTTCACACAACTATAAAATCCCCTTTCATGTTTCTAAATCATATTATTTGCGCTTAGTTCATTCTTAAGTAACTTGTATTCCTTCTCTTTCTGTCTCTGTTAGAGTCGCTTATTTGCGCGTCAGTGCACTGTAGTGCACCAAGCAGTTTTAAGTCGGGCTGTAAATAGCTTTTTTTTGTGCAGTGACTCGCCAAAGTGTCTCTTGGTTATACTATATAGTGCAAATGTTTGTTTTATGTTTAGTTGCTCTTGGCTGGCAAGAATAGGCTATTTTAACGTTTATTCGTTTTTCATCTGAATCCTTAAATAATTACATCTATCTAAATTTATTTATGCGGATATTGACTATTGGCTGTATATAATCTCTGAAGACCAGGTATAGCCTAGTTTAAAACACCACAACATAAATTAGACTAATGCACGAATATTGGTTTTTAAATAAATATCTGGCTGCTGGGCGGTTGTATGTTTCCCCCAGACCTGTTTGCCTGTTCTTGAGCTCCCTCAAGAGAGGGGTTGAGCCGGTGCAGAGAATAATCTAAAGCATAATTCTCGCTCATAACCATGCATGTTTATTGCTGAAGTATTCCAGCAAGTTTAGAAATGCATCTAAAATCTTAGAGATTTGTTAAACGATCGTTTTCTGTCGGGATTAATTAGAAAAAGCTATTGATTTTAATCCATGAAATAGGCTATGAACTAATGGAATTGTGCGCAATAGAAATCCCCAATGTACCCCGGGCGGCATTCCAGAATGAACTGTAGGCAAAGGCAATGATGTTGGGAGTCACATTTCTCGTTTGTGCTCATGTCTGCCTATGAGAAAGAAAAAGTTATAGCCCTGAAGTTTATTAAGTTATCAGAGGAGCCAACATCCCCATCAATCGTACTGAGCTCTTTGGGAAATGTTGCGTTAAATTCTTAATACGATTCAATCCAAACATGGGCAAATTCATTAAAAAGGGCCCTAAGGCCAGAGGTCGATTGTCTTTGAAAACGTTTTTGATCAAATTGGCTATGAGGCATTAAATTAATCTCTAAACTTTGTGTAACTGGTTCATTTTGGTTCATTTTTCTTAGTGGAAACACACGTCACTTCACATCATATAGCCTGACCCTCTAAGTGTTTCATTGTTAGGGATCATGTCTCGGACCTGTCTCGTAAGTCGCAAGTCACAGATCTGTCCGCAAGGCCTGTAGTTGACATGACACACACATTAATCGTTTTATAAGCGTGTATGTCATTCCATCATTATAAAAATACAATTGCGTCATAAGATTTAGGATATCCTAGAAAGTTGATGTAGCCTATGTGACGTGTAGCTATGTCTTGAGGAAGAAGCGATGGAGTTACCGCGCATAAGATGGGGAAACATCCACAAGTGCTTAAAGTGGATGCTTGGCTTTTTCAAGCCTGCTAGCATTCGCCTTCAAAAACGGTTTGAGGCCTTGAAAATTGAGTTATGTGACAAAGTTGAAGGTTTTTCATGCAACGGTATTAGTGTGAAGCACAAGCATTTAGACATGTGCTTCAGATTCAGAAAATATTCCCTTGACGTCACTGAACCCACAGGTACTGAAGACATGCACAAGGTGACACATTAATTTTTGTCATTATAGCGAATCTCGAGTCACTGTAACATTCAGCTTCTACGTGTGCATGTTGACAAAAGCTAGCACAACGGAATTTTTGTTAGCCTCCCATCTGCATTCCCGAGCAAACCACTGAGGGAGAAGACGCCTCGTTAGAGATACTCTTCCTCCATAATTCATCCCACATTTCTCCCTAAAAAGGAGATAATCTAATGTCACATGTGGCCACATTTTACTGTGCATTCCAGTATGCTTAAACTCCAGTAGAGTTCAAAATTCAATCTTTTTCCTCCAAGTCGTTTTCTTATTTATTTTTTTTAAAGAAAACGTTGCTTATAAAATGAACTCATGGTCACGCTTTGACATTCTCCGTTGCAGGGAGATGCATGATATAGACTTACACAGGTGAACTTAGATGGCAAAGTTATACAAAGTATTTTGTACAAAGTAGTTGCTCATGGTAGTGGCTAGAGTAATTTTATGAAAATCTCAAGTTAATAATTTGAAACTGCATTGCTTTCCTCATTATTTTCATAAATCAAAGTGTTTGGTTTTCATGCATTTATCAGGGATGGCGCCGAGAGCACTTTATTTTAGTAATATTGATCGTCTACGTGAAGGCTGTAAGTTTGAGTGCATTGTGAAATGTTTCATGTTTCAAATTGGAATCTGTACTAACATTATGATCTATGCTTCTTGTTTTTGACTGTCATTTGCAGACGACCCATCTGCCAACTGGTTACACGCCCGATCATCCCGGAAGAAGCGATGTCCATACACGAAATATCAGACCTTGGAGCTAGAGAAGGAATTTCTGTTCAATATGTACCTCACGCGAGACCGGAGGCACGAGGTAGCTCGCCTGCTGAACTTGACAGAGCGACAAGTAAAAATATGGTTCCAAAACAGAAGGATGAAAATGAAGAAAATGAATAAGGACCAGCCCAAAGAATGATAACGCAGACTGGTGCCAGGCGTTTAAGCCTTCTACAAAGACTCTTTTAAATGGAAGCTGATGCAAGAGTGTTTTACTGCATCAAAATGAAAACGCACTGCACACACCATTTTCCGTATGACTGGACAGTGTTATGCGTAGAGTATAAGGAAGAGGTGAAACGATGCAGAGGAGGGGGAAAACGTCGTGCCATCTCTCCCTACTTTTATTGCATTTTATGACTCGTGTGAAAGAAACGAATACTTCGTCAGGAAATAAACAGGTGATAAGGAACTGGTTTCAACAGGATAAGAACAGCTGAAAAATTGTGCTTTTATAAAGTTGTTCTCTATATTAGTATTTTTCATCATTCCTTTTGCCATGGACGTGTGCCGATGATGTATTTTAAAAACATAAGCCTCATTCAATATACAAGGGAAGTTCTGCTTATCAGTAAAGCATGTTCACTTGTTTGTTAATCGACGTGATCTCTCTTTTACATTATTATTATTGTTATTATTATTATAAGAGGAGAATAAAACAGCCGTTTGCTCGTTTAGTCTATATCGTGAATCAGTTATTAAAGCGTACATATGCTAACAGGGTTTTAAAAACCTTTGAAGTTTACTAAATACTTTCCTCTTGACATTTACGTGTGTGCAAAGATCTATGGTAGATGCACATAATAAAATCTGTTGGTTGATTAGAATTTAAGGATAATAATAATTTCCAAATTTGCCCTCAGATCTTTAGCTTCGTTCAACAGTGTTTGTATCGGTTGGGGTTCAAATGAAGAATCAAACTGAAGTAATTAAATACAAATGAATTGAGTTGTTTTACCTTATCATTTTCAAATATCCCGAAATAATCCTTTTGAGAATTAGAGTGCAGGTTCCGACTGTAGCCTATGTATTTGTAGCGTGCCAGTAACCATAGAATTAATTCGTGCTTAAATGTGTAACAACCTTTAATACAGATTCGGTCGCAGTTGTTTACATAAATTTGCGCATGCCTCGTATTGTGTAGTTTTCTTATGTACGTGTTATTGGAAACGCTAGTATTAATTCGAAGTTTTTTGTTTTATGTGCAGTCTATAGGATTGTAATTTTAATTTATTGTAAATAGGTTAATCGTTTTTTTCTTTTCAATGGAATGTTTTATATGTTGTAAAAATTCATACTTGAATGAGCTGATACACGTAACCTTTTAATTTTTCTATTTTGTTTACACGTTCCTTGTATGTCCAGAATCATGTCCGTTGTGCATTGTCAGTGATACTTTTATCTGTATTTGGTCGTTCCTTCCTATTGCTTTATTGCTTTAGAGAAATGTTTTATGTTTTTGTGTGATTTGACTTTACTGAAATCGAGCGAGTCTATCTTCAAATGTCAAAAACTCCTTATTCAACTGTTTCCAATTTTCTTTGACGCACGTCTAGTCAGGAACACACACAGGCTTTATGTGCTATTTTTTAACGCTTGTTTTCTGGCTTCTGAGCATTTATTAAAAGACATCGCTAGATTTTGAAGAACATGCAAAGACCTTCTTTTACTAGCAACACAACGTCTAAAATGTGTTTTGTTCAGGACTGCTCTGTCTCTTTTTCTGTTCTTGTTTTGTTGTTAATCTGTGCTATTGCACTGTTGATGCTGGACTCATTAAAAGTTTACATATAGACCACACACACAGGTATTGTCATTTCTATGGACACAACAAATAGGCACGTTGATTACAGATACCCAAATACAATATGATTTGTAATTTAACGTTTTTTTTCCCCCTAAATGAGTGCACATTCTGTCTTCTGTATCATTGCAAAAAGAACTCTCTCGAAACCTAAAAATCCTTTATTTAATTAAAACAAATGTACGTGGCTAGTGGCTATGCATATGTGTTATAGATACTACCCAGACACATGGACATATATAGGCCTACTGTACATACATTTTGGTTAAATTGAAGTATTCTCTGCTTTTTTATAAAAGCATGTGACAAATGGTACCCTCTTTGGTATCCTTTTCAATGCTTTTGATTGTAAACCAGCCCAAACTCTATCTCGTCCTTTTGTGCTAGGCTAGTAAGCGACATGCTGTAGTGCTCCGTTTTAATGTTTACTGCATTTTATAATGCGAGTCATATGTTGTAAATATGCTATCTGAGCTCGAGCATTCATCTTGAGACAAAATGAAGAAACGTGCAGCTCATATGTGGAAAGAAGAATGACTGAGAAGAACCATGACTCATCTTTGCTTTGGCTCTCTTCTTAACGTATTATTTGATTCCCTTGTGATATTAGTCGTGTTATATTTGGCTATACCGCATCCTCCAGATGCAAGCTATACATCAAGAACCAAGAAGGTTATTTTGCGACGTAGCCTATACTAAATTATGTAAACTAAAAGGGATAAGGTAGGCTAGGTCTAGCCTATATTTTGCAGCCTGTGGGTTGAAGTTCTAGATTCTAAATAACGTAAGACCCGAGGCCCACTGTTAGCAACAAAAGAGAAACACTGCAGTGGTCTTATTTGACAGTATTTTTGAAACATTTGTTGTGAAATAAAAAATAAACTGATTTTACGATAGATTTCGAGAGCTTACCTATAATCAAACTGACGTAATTGCAACTTGGAAGAGGAAAGGAGACGGCATTCAACAGATTGTAACCATTAAATATTTCTGAAGACATTGCCAGTTGTCCTGGCTCACAGATGTTTTCACGAATGCCTATTCGTCACATATTAATTCAGCATAAGTCTGTCCTGATGATAACGGGGGTGAGGAGTTATTTTGAGTCCTGCCACACCATTAGCGCCCTTTATTTGGGTGTTTTGAAAGGAAACAAACTGCAGAAAGGATGTGCGCTCGATGTTCGGAGGAAATGGGAAGTCGACTGTCATAAAAAAAGAGAAAGAAATTCAATGTGGTGTGCCGCAATAAAATAATATGACTGTAATAAAACTTTATAGGGTATAAATTTCTGAAGGTTAAGAACTAAATGGCTGTAAAGCAAACACTACGCGAGAAAAAAACATAGAAAATGTGAAAAACGTTTCAAGCTTCTAATAACTGTAAGGCAAAATAATTTGCGTAAACACCGTGTCCCCGTTGGGGGAGTCTGTTTTTTTCTTCTTCTCTTTTCTCGCATTTGTCGTTTATTGTGAACAGCGTTTGTTCTTCAGCCGTCCAGATTCCTTACAGAGTAGGGGGTCGGGATGGGTGAGATCTGGACTTCCACATAAGAGCCCTGAGTCCAATTCAATCGACGCCCACCCTTTGTTCCATTTCCGAACTCACTGCAGCCCTTATAGCGGGCCATAAACTGCCACAAAAAGGATTTCTGGCGAGACGTCTGGTATGACCAACGTTAATTTGTTTACAACCTTTGGGACCGAGCTCGACTTCGCCATTTTGTGGGCACACATCAGATTGTGTCTTGGTAACAAAGGCCGGTTGCTATAGAACAAATATTTAAATTTCCCCAATACAGAACCGTCCTTTACATTACATTCTCTATGCAGGCTATATAAAGGTTATTGTGTTTATTACCGGCCTAGTTGCTGAATTTATAAACATAAATAAAATGTGAAGAATTATGGAAATGGTAATGATGTGTAGTTTTCTTAGGGTGCGTTGTCAATGATGTAAATAACCATGCAATAAAGCTTTCGAAAAATCAAAATATTTTTTCTTTCTTTTAACACAATTAATATCTACAATTAATCTCTGTCATCGGAAGCTTAAAGCCAGTCAGTATTGACAACTAAAAAAAGGGAAGTAAACGTGATGATGATGATTAGTAGCCTAGTAAGTTGAAGTATTTTAGTGATGATGCTGGTACAGTGCACAAGTGCGCTGCCCAAATAAGAAAAGTAAGGATTTATGCATGGTAATGTTTCATTAAAACTAAAAAGCAGCATCAACATATTATTATAACAATTATTATTATTATTATTATTAATATTAGTAGTAGTAGAAGTAGTAGTAGTGATAAAAGTAGCAGCAGTATGCTTGATGGTGGAACTATTAATACTGGTGCATAAAAATGAATAAGATGAGTGCAACCCAAATAAAAAATAAAGTCTCATCATACAACGACGGAATGCTACATTTGAGCCTCATTCTAAATCCTAAATCTAATAGTTAAAGATATTAGTGAAATATTGGTAAGAAAGAAGCGAGACTCGCTTCAATGTTTTAACATTAGTGTTAGTGTTTCAACCCAATGTAAATTACTTTTCTAGATATGTTGAAAAACCACACAAGACTAGATCCTAGGGGTCGATTTTAAATGGATTCCTTGTTATAGAGAATTAAAATAAGTACTTTACATCATTGAATTTGCACTTACTGAGCTGTTAATTCGCTCATTCTGTTTTTATGTCCGTTGTTTATAGAACCATTAGCTTTTGAACTTCCGTCTCATTACAGCTGAGTTTGCTCATGGAGTAACACACAATTGCCACTTGATGGCAATGTTGTTCCATCGAAAAGAGACTGGCTGGCCACCTCCACCCCCAAACCGGAAACACTGGGGCCAAAACATTTGCAGACATGTGCGGTATTACACTTGACTAAAGTAAGGTTCACACAATTTCCCTCTGTTACAGCGGAGCTAATAAAGATATAAGATATAAGATAAAGATCTGATAAAGGTCCAGAGAAACAAGTAGACTCTCTTTTCATTTTTTTTTCCTTCTCTTTGTGTAGCCTACTAACAAATGTAGCCTATCTTTAAATTTAAGGATACACAAACTTAGTTACAATAATCAAGATTAGGCTACTTTTTTTATCCTGTAAAACCCGAACAAAATAGTTATTAAACGTTTTCGGCCGCAGCTTATTGAGAATTATTGGAGCAATGTTGAGATTAATTAAATCACTTTATTGATCTGCTCCATTTTTATATGACCCCAAAAATTGAGAGATGTGATGTTTCGGTAATTGTTTTAAATAATAATATATATGATTTATATAATTTAAATAAGATATCACCACACAAAACTTGGGTTAGAAAATGGTTTATTGACAGTAAAAACACTATTGCATTGAAACAAGAAAATGTACAACAACATACGATAGTGTGATATTCAATAAATGACACCATTAATTTCATATTTACTGTTCACAACAGAATGTCTCTCATGCTTTGATGCATTATATATTGTGACTTTTACATCAGAACTTAGCATGCGAAATTGTATGGAGGTTTTAGTAAAGCCGACTCGGGTTTTGCTAGTCAAAAGGGGAGGTTCACGCTTGGTGAACTCTTTGTCTTTTTTTTTAAGAGAAGAAACGTTTAATAAGTGCAAAAACAACATGTGCTTAAGATTAACCCGTGATATAGACACATTAACGTTGTATGTAACCCATGTGTTGAGATGTAGCCTAAATAATCCGCTAGAAATAGAATCCATCACATTTAACAAAACTCCTTATAAATCCTCGACTGTAATTTATTATAGACGCAAATTAAGTTGTAAAATGACAAGAAGCAGCAGCATTAGTTAGTGTCATATAGATATGAAAAGTAGAGAACTTTTTTTGTGCGTTATATGTGACCATGATTATTCAGTAATGATACTTTTTAAATAATTGCAAATATTTTTGTAGAAAATGAATAAATATACAATTCTATGAATAATAATTCTATAATTCGAATTCTATAATTCCCCCCGAAATCATAACGAATCCATAAACATTTCAAACTGTTACAAACACGAAGAATATATGGTTTGTTTGTTTATTTATGTGAAGCTATTTGCTTTTATTAGAAAATTATATGCACGTTACTTTTCACCCCTTGGATTTTCTAGATAATGTAAATCAGATTTACTTGTTCTAAACATTATGCAAACAAAAAAACAAAACGAAAATGACAATTAAGGGACTTGCTATTTCTGTATGGATACATTTTGGAGTGAAGCATTTACAGCACTGGTCTCGGAGCCTCGTAAAAACCTAACAGCTTTTTGATGCACTACGTCAACAACAAACAGTAGGGGCGTTTATTGCATTTCATAGTTTGTTAAACCATTTACACCACCATTACACCTGACGTGCAGTTCCATTTCGACATCCTTATATCTCTGTAAATATATTTATGTAAATAAAATGATCAAAATGTTAAATATGACCATCTCGCTTATTTTCGATGCGTGCGCTTCAGTCGCTGCAGAGGATGCTTTTGCAAAATTACGCGTGCTTACAAGGTTTTTTAGGATATGTTTAAACTGATACTAATTAAATGGTGTACCTTTTAAAATTGGCCGTCTCGACCCTGACATTTAAAAAAAGAGACTCGACCTCGTTAGAGAGTTGAAAATTAACGACTAAATATGCATCACTTTAGGTTGTCTGTGATGAACATGCAAAAAATCAATCTTTCAAAGGGGTTTGGAGTGGAGAAGTTGAGTGGGGGAGGGGCAGAGGGTATGCACTTGATCTGATGCAAAGAGGCAGATTTCTCATTAACTTGCCCGCTTGAACATATTAATGTGCATATTCTCCCCTCCTCTCTCTCCCTTGGCCCCCCTTCCCTCTCCTGCTACCTCGCGCTCTATCCCTCTCAGCTCTCTCTCACTCGCTTTCTCTTTTTCTCTCTTTTTCATTCTCCCGCTCCCTTCATATCAGAATCGCACAGAGCAGTGTCCGTGTGGGGACGCGAGAAGCCAATGGAACGAGGATCCTATAGAAGATGCAAATGATCCTGAAAACACACCGCAAAATATGAAACTACTCGTTTGCAGCCGAGTAAATCATAGAAAACTGGTTGGGAACTGGCACCGGAATTCACCAGGATTGTGATGCTGGAACTCTACAGTGGGAACATGCTTATGGAAGCTTTAGATAAGTTGTTTTAACAAAGGTATACGAACGCAAACCGTTCAGATATTGGAACTCAACGCTTTGCTGCTGCATTGTTTGTTACCTCAGTAGCTGTGAAACTGACAACTCTCTGTAGCTACAGCGCTGATATAAAGACATTCAAACGCAAACTCTTGAACAAAATCAGCACATACAACAACATCAAAAGATGAGCTCATATTTCGTCAACTCTCTCTTCACTAAATACAAAAGTGGAGACACTCTACGGCCGAACTATTACGAGTGCGGATTTGCTCAAGACCTTGGGACGAGACCCACCGTCGTGTACGGTCCAGGCACCGGGGCCACTTTCCAGCATGCCCCTCAGATTCAGGAGTTTTACCACCACGGCGCGTCCACGCTCTCCGCAGCGCCTTACCAGCAGAGTCCCTGTGCGGTAACTTGTCACGGCGAGCCGGGAAACTTCTACGGTTATGATGCTCTCCAGAGGCAAACACTTTTCAGTGCTCAAGACGCCGACTTGGTTCAGTATAGCGACTGCAAACTCTCCACGGGGGGCATCGGCGACGAGACGGACAACGCAGAACAGAGTCCGTCGCCCACACAGCTGTTCCCGTGGATGCGACCTCAAGGTGAGCCTCTGCCGGTCAGCTCGCGTTGTTTGTGTGTGTCTGTGGAAGTGACATAAAACCTGAGTTTGCCTCACAAAAAAAGAAAAAAGAAAGAAAGAAAAAAAATCAGTGCAGTTTAGGTTTAGAATTGCATTTCCTGTGTGCACGAGAAGAGGGGGGACAATAGCTGGTTTTATTGTTTTATGGTGTTCAAAACTTGTGAATCACTTTACAGTTTAATGACCCCGTCATAGAAAGGCAGGAGTGTGGGAGAGAGGAAGAAGAGGGCGAGAGAAAAGCCCCTTCTTTTCTTGCTGTTTCCATGTGTGAGACTTTGCCCCACAGCTGATCTCTCACTTCTCACCCAGGTCAAAGTTTTACTGCAGCCTTTAACGACTTACAGTGAGCCTCGAGTTTATTTCACTACACAGTGGTCGTTTCACAACGATTATGTCATTTATGGCTGTTCCTAATCCTTTGAACCTGTGAAATACTAGACTGCTTTTGACGACTCTACTGCGAAGTTAGTGTTTAACCATTATTGTGTGTAAGTTTTGTGGTAGGATAGCCTACTTATATTTTTAATGGTGGAGCTTTTTACATTAATTACTGTGTTAGACTGTGGGAGTCTCCATGTTACACTAAAAACCTACCCTTAAACTAATAATGCAACGCGATTATGTAGGCTACTGGAGTAGATGTTCATTTTGCGGGAAAGCTGCTTTGTGGATTTTTGGTTCACAAATATGTTTGAACTTGATTCTAAAATTATGATTTGGTGGGTGTTTTGAGCTCTGACTAACATCTAAAAACTTCTTTATTGCCAGTAGCTGCCGGACGGAGGCGAGGTCGCCAGACCTACAGCCGCTATCAGACGCTCGAACTCGAGAAAGAGTTTCTCTTCAATCCCTACCTAACGCGCAAGAGACGAATTGAGGTATCACACGCTTTGGGACTGACAGAACGACAAGTCAAAATCTGGTTTCAAAACCGTCGCATGAAATGGAAAAAGGAAAACAACAAGGACAAGTTTCCAAGCAGCAAGTCTGAACAAGAGCAGATCGAAAAAGAGAAACGGGAGAAAGAACAGGCATCCGGGACACAGTCGGCCGGCGAAGACTGCGACAAGGAAAAACAAATGTAGAGCGGATGCGTGTGTGAGTGAGTGTGTGTGTGTGTGTGTGTGTGTGTGAGGGCGAAAGAGAGAGAGAGAGAGAGAGAGAGAGAGAGAGAGAGAGAGAGAGAGAGAGAGAGAGAGAGAGAGAGAGAGAGAGAGAGAGAGAGAGAGTGTGCGTGTGTGTGTGTGTGTGTGTGTGTGTGTGTGTGTGTGTGTGTGTGTGTGTGCGTGTGCCAGTCAATCGAAACGGCAAATAATAAATAGGGAAAATAAAACACAGACAATGATGAAGAGGATAACGGTGTTTGCATGGGAGGTTTGTCTCACAGAGACATTTTAATCAAGCCGAGTTGTTACATCTTGCACTCGAGGAAGGAACAGAAAAAATGACTGGGACTAGACAAATTACTATACACTTAATATGGTGACCACAGAACTTCAGGAAGACGAAGGACATGGAGTATTTCTACTTTTTACCTGTTGTTCAGAGTATGATAGTGTTAAAGCTAGTCTCCTTTCTTTGTGAAATAATTATCGTGAAACTTATGTTTCTATTGTTAGGATATTGTCATTAACAATTACCTTGGCAGCTGTATAGTTTTAAGTTAAATGGTGCACTTTTAACTGTTCTCACTTATATGTTATGATGATGATGATGATGTAGAATTAATGACTTCCAACAACATGAAACTGCCTATTTATGCCGTAGAATCTCTTTTTACACTTCTTTGGTTCTTCTTAAATCGATGGTTTTTTTGTTGTCTTCCTTTCTTGGGGTAAGCATGCGCACAGTGGATTATAAAAATGAATAAACATAATAAAAAAGAAATTTTAAAATGATGTCATGTGACCCATTGTTTACAATCATTGTTTGCTGGTGAAGTAGTTTATGAGATGACTATATGTTTTGTTGTCATTCTTAACTGTATTTTAATGTCTAAAACTGGAGGCACCGGAAGAAAGTGGACACAATAAAGTTTACAAGCGAGAATCCGTGACACCATGTGTCCTCAACATCATTTCACGTTAATGTGCGGTTCCAAGGTCCGCTTCAGTCAAAAAAACCTCTAGAAATAAGAATATTATTATAAGCACAAATATGGATTAGTACACATTGTTAATGATGACAAATCTCATAAAAATACCTTGTAGTGTGGTCTAATTCTTGATTTATAGTAAGATAATTTAACTAAAAGAGAGGCGGCATGCAAACCACAACTGAAAAACCTCATAACTATTTTGTCAGACCAACACCGTAACACGACACGATATAATATGCCACTAAACAGAAACAGACTATGTATTATCGTGAATCTACATCAAAAATCTCTTAAAACGAAATTTCATCGTGCTGAACTCTGTTAAATGTGGGTATTTGAGTTATGGGAGCACATCATGTCAGGTGAATTACTGTCGTAAGGGTATGTGGGCTTCTCAAACATCCAGAGTGTAGGTTTCACGACAAGACTCAGAGCTTTCGCGTGAACATGCATGCATTAGCAATAACATGTATAGGGAAACTATTTGGGATGCACTGAACCAGTCCGTCGCCATGGAAATGGCTATAGTTGGTGGTGACTGCGTAGGCTATTGGGATGCTTCGAAGCAGAAACTAGTAAGAGCCCGAGTCATCATACTCTTGACACGGACACTGTACAGAAATTGCAAAAATGCAGTGATGAGATTGGGGCACTGCACCGGTGACAAGAGGAAATAGTGTTGAAAATCAATACAGAAATAAATAGGTTTCTTGTTATTTGTGTGGTGCCCTTCCAAACAGGAGGCATGTTCCTAAATCTGGACAACCTGAACTCATTTATAAGTTTGTACAACCCACAATTATTTATTGCTTGGCGCGGATTTGGTGATTACAGAAACCTTCTCAATAGCCTATCGATTTGTGTGTTCTCCCGTGCGTTTGTGTTGACTGTAGGTACCGTTGGCTGTAAGTGAATAATTTAACAAATTTATGTGGATGGTCAGCTGTGTAGCCCTTCTCCACATTAGACAGGGCTCTGGGAAGCCGTACACCCATTGGAGGATATTTCATCACGTGCTGCCCATCACGTGGCCCCTGAGGAAAAAGGGGTGATTTTTGGTGTAAATCTAGACTGTAATTCTGTAATATATCATTGGACCTCGTAAAACCGACACTAAAACTTCTTGGCATATAAATCACTTCTCAAATTATGAGTTCATTGTATTACGCGAACGCGTTGTTTTCCAAATACCAAGTGGCGAGTTCAGTCTTCTCTAGTGGCGTGTTTCCCGAGCAAACTTCTTGCGCCTTTTCGTGCAGTTCGCAACGGGCCAGCGGCTACGGCTCGGCTTCTACCGGTGCACCGGTCTCCTCCACATCTTCTGCCTCTCTGCCGAGCATGTACACTAACGGTGCTAGTCTTTCCAGCCAGACTCAAGGCATGTACCCCACTGCGTATGAGCTGGGAGCTGTCTCTTTGAACATGCACAGCTCTCTGTTTGACCATCCGAATCTACCCATGGTGAGCGCTGGCGATCTCTGTAAAGCGCAAAACAGTGGTAAGGAAGAGCAAAGAGGCCACCATCAAAACAACGAAAACAACCTCCGAATCTATCCGTGGATGAGGAGCACAGGTCTGTGAAAACTGAATGTTTCTTGAGGACAGGGGTGTGCGTATGTATGTCTGAGGGGGAGGGAAACAGGTTAAGGGGAGCGACCAAGTCATTTCAAAAAGTGTTCTTTTCTTCAGATCTTTTTTTACGACTAATTAGTCGCCATAATTCAAGACATCCTAGTAGTAGACTATTTAGCGTTTTGTGGAAAAAGGGAGGGGACAGTATGAGAGGTTTGGATGAATTATGTTTAGCTTTAACAAATATGTATTCTGCTGGAAATCCATCTTTAAGTTAGTTAGGAAGATGAATCCATCGTTAAGTTAGAATGTGCTCAAGCAATTGCATTAAAAATCCTTATATTTTTATATAGAGGGCGGGGCCTTGTTTTTCTAGGGTATGTTACTGCTGGGTGGGCCTTTGTTTTAAAATACTCTCAGTAATTTAACTGTATCTGTGTCTGGGTGTGTTTTATATGCAGTATGTTGTACATGTATGTGCCTTTCTGCGTGCGTGTGCGTGGGCATGTGTTGGAAGTTTTACAAAACATACGACTCAAGATATGCGTCCAAGATAACCGACTCGCTGAACAAGGGTTTTTAACAAATCGTCTGCGTTTCGTAGTAATAACACTTTTCACGCGAGTAGCCACCACACGTCCCGGCTGACGCATTTGAAAAGAAGGTCGACAAGTTCTCTTTTAATGATTTTCAACGGCCTCTCAAGACACTCCGCACGAGCACCGACGTTCCTATCAGTCAACTGTCAACCCAGGGCGCTTCTTCTCTTGTTAGCGCCTAGTGTAAAAATACAACAACATAAATAGTTTTGAAACAGATACCTCATTAGCAAATTTGTTGACATTTACTGGCAGATAGTCATTGCCAGCCGATGGTGTAGCTATACATTTTCGTTCTACGTGTGAAATGCCACAACGAATGTGTCATAGTTAACCTATTACTCTGTAAGTACAGTGAGACACTTTAAGCTCTTTCAATTATTTTCAATTATTTTAATTTTAATAATAACGGCAGCTATTTTACTTTTGTAAATATTGATGTTAAACACGAATAAGCCTCTTTTTTTTTTTTTTTTTTTAAAGGAAGCTGCTTATACAAATTTTATTCATTCGTTTATTTTTTGTGTTAAAAAAGATCAGATTAGTCCACTGCCATGTCTGCTGTAAAGGCCACACAGCCTATTTGATACGCCAAAGCTGGTGTAGACGCATGAAAATAAACCAGGCCCTAATAAACATTCGCGAGTACATAGGCTATACACACCTCAAAAAAGGTAGTAATTTTGCTTCTACACATTTTAACATATCAGACTACGCTGGGCCTTGCCCCCCCAACCACAAGGTTTTATGTCTTTATAGGGGCCAGCTGCCTTTTCGGTTGATTTCGTGCTTTCGTTCGATATTTCACATAGATGGTCTCTGTCCCTCACTTTATTTCTCTTTCACTATTCACAGACGGACACATTCACACAGACCAGATGAAATTCTATTTCCATGTCTATCATTGGGGAGACTGTGTACGTCAGGGACCCTGAACAGTGACCGAACACAATGCTCGTCCTTGTTTTAACTCGTGTAAAAGCGTTTCGTTCTGCGAGGACAGACATAATGCACTTAATTTATACCCCTGAAAGAACGAAATAGCGGTATCTGCTTGGATTTAAATACAATACTTATATTTATCTCTCTCTATTACTCTTATACCTTCTGCTTTTCACCCAGATTCTTCATGTTTTTGCACAGTTTGTGCTAGATAGTAGGCTATAGTATCAACAAGAAGTGTCACGGCGTTGCCGACAATACGGAAGTAAGATACAAACGACTGAAGAGTGCAATAAAAAAGTTCAAAAAGCACAAAGCAGTACCCATTTGTCGACAGTCTGCTGGAAACGGAAACGCAGGGACAGCAGAAAGTCACTGACCGTGCATGGACAAGGTTGTGAACATCTGGTTAGATTTCTTCTCTCTAAACGTGCAGCTAAAAGATGGATACTTTACATAGATGGCTTCTTTATCTAGATGGATATAATACTTCAGCCCGTATGTGTAAGGGAACTAGATCATGTTGTTGACTTTGGTCATGTTTAGAAGGAAGTCTGAACGCCAGGGCTCCATTATGAGTCACGGGAGTGTGCAAGCCAGAGAATACACTTACAGCAGGGGTATTTGTTTACTTTCATTTTGCTTTTGAATTACATTCCACTTTTATATTTAAGATGCATTTTTACCTTTCAAAGTTCAGTTTTAATTCGACAGAGTTGTATCTTGATCTTAATGCATGTAACAGTTCAGACGCACGGTTAAATTCAATGTGTGCGTTTCGTTTTGCTATTGTTACAAGGTTATAGTTAATGTGACCTCAAGTAAGGAATAAACATCCAAAATATAATTTAGAAGACTTCAAGACACGTTTGGGTTTGATGACCGCTTTCTTTTTAAATCTCAGGATTTAATAGCTAACTAGTCTTTCCTTAATAATGGATTTCACCAAGGCACTGTGCAAAAAACAAAAAAAAATTAATGAAAAGCTAATAAGTTGAATCTAAATATTTACAATCGCTAATCTCAATAGCATAGAATGTGTTTGTATAATGACTGGTCGCTTTGTCATGGTAAGATAATAACACACCTAGAATCAAGCAGCCATGCGTAAGTCTTATTTCCCCCCAGTGTGTATTGGTTGGTATAAGCCCTACTGAAAATACTAAAATAGTTGTTTTACATTCACAAATAGCCTACTTTTTTTTTGCTTAAATGTGAGTGATTTTTCGATAATTAGGCTATAGCCTTTCATATTTAATGCTTTTAATGAATTATAAGTTCTTGAAATCCTCCGTTTTCATCCAGACCAATAATGATTCACAAAGGTAGACATTTTAATGTTTTCATTTTAACCATCGAAAAACATTCGAACTCTTTTTATTGATTGTAACTGATTTTTCTTTTTTACTAGTGTTTTTGGTAAACATATTTTCATACTTTTTACGCTTTCTGACCCTCCTCCCGTATTTCCCACAGGTGCGGACCGGAAAAGAGGCCGTCAGACATATTCCCGCTATCAAACATTAGAGCTGGAGAAAGAATTCCACTTCAACCGTTACCTCTCACGGCGGCGGCGTATAGAGATTGCACACGCCCTGTGCTTGACCGAACGCCAGATTAAAATCTGGTTTCAAAACAGAAGGATGAAATGGAAGAAAGAGAACAAATCAACTGGCCGCAGCTCTCCTGCTGCTGACCAAATTGGGGGCGACGAGGAAGAGGAAGATGAGTAGCGACGCAAGTGGCATACAAATAGACTGTGCTGTATATTATCATTCGACCTGCTTTAATTCAGGATTCACTGGGTTGAAACAAAAATGCTACTTAGAATACTGTGGGCAAAATGTCAATGTCGTTTACCTAAGTAACTTGTGTTAGATTAGTTGTGTCTAATATCTTAGACTCGTAAATATAGTAGGCTAATACATTACAAGTAATTTTAAAACGCATTATAATATAGATATGTAATACATGTATACTCATACTGTATAGCCTACATTATATGGGCTATATAGGCTTAATATTAGAGTTAATAATTCTATATATCATATATTTGAAACAAACAGGCCTATTTTGTGCCTATTAAGTTCGACCTGTGGGGTGAAACAGAAGGGAGCAAGCTATTTTTTTTGCATTCTAATGCATTTTGATATACCCCTGTTATGTAGGCTTATCTATGTGTACATATAAGCATTTTTTCCCTGTTCATAAGTGTTCAAATAAACTGTACTGCTGACCACAAGATGTTTAAAAAAGATATTTTTTGCCTTTCCAGGAGTTTTCTTTTCTGTATTCTTTGCTTGCTTTTCGTTTCTAGTCGGAGTAAAATCACAACATTGTTGTGCCAAATAACCCTGAATGTGATAATACCACAATCATATATTTATATTTTATAAAGACCCCTGCCTTTTTAAAACAGTTCCTAAAAAAGACTCCGTAGATTAATAATACTACTACTACTAATAATAATCTCAGAAGCAGAATCAGAAGCATCCTTCCTGTCTGTCTATTTTTAGTTATTAGTTAATAATTTATATTCACTACCAGGTTAAACATCTTCGATATGTTTTTTTTTTAAATTAACAGTTACATTTTAGGCTATTACTAAAACATTTTTGTTTTATTCATCCTTTTGGATTATTTGGGAATTACAATAGTTCTGTTGTGGACAAAATATTGCCTAATCATTGAAATAATATATATTTCTATATTAAATCTTTAAATATAAATGAGAAATAATGTAGCAGATTTCGTAATTATCAGTTATCTCACAAAGCAGTTTAAAAATGAGGACTAGTGTACTGTTTGTTTTAATACGCTATAGGCGTAATATTATTTTGATTTGTCATTGTCGTTGCCTCTTGAACATCAATTCAATAGTTTTTGTTTATTGTGACTTAATTTTTTTCCTCAGGTCAAGCCGAGTTCTTGTAGAGAAGTGACAGGTTCTGTGTCGTGTGAGACCAAAAGAAGGCGTTTATATTATGGGGTTGTAAACTAATGTGTTTAGTGCATCAATAAAAAGCCGGAAACGCCATAAAAGGGACAACAACAAAAAAAATCAGTAGAATAGGAAAGCGGCCGGTCTTTTCTGGCTTCAGATCTTGTAGCAGCAGTTAAAGTTTGTGACAATACCTTTTCCGATTTAGACAAAACTGTAACACTGTAAGTGATCCATATTTCTATTTGCTTATTTTGATAAAAAAAAAAACTAAAAAAAAACTGTTGGATGCTATCTGCTTTTTGTCGCATTGCGAAATTGTCGTGAAGGCCTAGCCTATTTAGTGCAGTGTAGCCTATGCTATACAGTGTATAGCCTAGCCTACACTGTATAGCATAGCATATACCTATAGGCGTAGTTGCCATAACGCGGCAAATGTTTTTGTCCTAAATATTTCGTTCTGAAATGTTTTTATTTTTAATTATAATAAAATGTATTACGGTATGCCAACGAGAAGTCTTTCTGTTTGAATCGCAGACTGTTTTTTTTTTTTTTTTTTTTTTCTTAAATATTAATCAAATAAATAAGTATTAATAATAATTATATTAATCGGATAATATGTTTTCGTATTTCATATTACTGTATGATATTATGGCTCTGATTTTAACGTAATCCTTAGCTGGGCCATATTACAAATAAAGAGCAAGCATCCTCTTTTTAGTTAGACTATATCCAATCCTATATAAAATAATAATAATATAATAATATTTGTCTTAGTCACTAACCAGTTTATAGCACCGTAACATTAACTGTTGTAACTTTGATCTCCCTTCATTCGCGACATTGTTTTGGATGGTTTCATTTTATATTAGGCTAAAGCTGATGCCTGCAAATTGCCTTAAATGTCAAACCGCATTGGTGTTATATTTCGGCTTCAAAAACACAAATACCACATGTTCAAGCATAATATCTCACACGTTCGACTAATAAGCTTTTCAGCTAGCTTAAGTAAAGCAGTGCATTGAAACAAGCACGAAAAATATGAGATTTTCCTTGCGATTGTATAGGGAAAAGATGGCGACGGCAGAGCTACTGCTGTTAAAACAGTCATGAAGAAATGCAATAAATTCCTTGTTGTTTTATGAAAATTTACAACTTTGTGATAGAACTTTATGAGTGCCTGGGTCCTGGGATTGGCCGAGGATGGTCATGTGGACGAGTAACCGTGAACATGAACTTTTTATGATTTCCCAAGTGGTTATATTGCAGCATTCTTTTGGCCGCGGCACTTAATGTAGCTTCACTGTGCTCCTTAAAGGTTCTAGCTCTTTTTTATATAGTATATTTTGCCCAGCACTGAAAATCTATACAGTCGGAGAGCATTGTTCAGGCTGATGTTCTCAAATGGAACAGGGAGAGAACAGCCTCCTCTCCTCTCTGCTATGCTAATGTGGCCGCCTGTGATTGGGATAACCACTGCGATGGAGTCTTATTGAGATCTGGACACGCAGTAGGGTCTCATCTAATTTTTCATACGGGGGTCTGACTCCTGTTGACTAAAGCGGATGGAAGCTGTGGTGCCGCTGTCATTTTCACTGCTTCGCTCTAATGGCGGGACCAAGAAGAGCAACAGGACTTACCGAGCGCGAGCTACGGCGAGAGGTTTGCGCCTCTCTGTCCTGGTGCTGGGTGACGAATTATCAACAAAGGTAAGTCTGTCATTGTCTCGCAACCGCTTCGTTTCTCTGAGGTAAGAACTCGACCAAGCCTAATCATGCGCACTGATGGATGTACTCTACTAATAAGCCGCGCGTGCACAACAGCTTAGAAGTAAACACCTTATCTAAATCCAATTATTCATTTCCATCTTGGGAGGAGCGGAATAAGCGTTTTGGTGCCTTTCCATGTATTTTTTCTTCTTCTGGTCAGCGGCAAAGTATTTAGACCTAATGCATGGTGTGCATTTACAGAGATTCGGATGTGCTGATTTCGGGTTTTCCACTGCATTAGGCTACTGTATTTATGATATGGAGCGCAGTCATGGCTGCGGCGAGAGGGCGAGGTTTGAAGAAGCTGTTGTCTTGCCAATCGGATCTTAGCCTTATATAGGCTACCTATAGTCATTTAGTACAAAAATGCTTTATTCAGTACGACATTAAAAGTTAGATGGTAAAATGCTTTAATACCGCCCCAAATCAAAGGCAAAAAGAAACAAACTGATAGACAAAAAATATAGCTAGAATATAGGGTAATAATACTTGAAGGCCTCTATTGAATCGTTAGAGTTATGTGAAACATATAGGCTATTATATGTTCAAAATACCCAAAATACCCAAGGGTCTCCTCTTGTTCTGAATAGGACGTCTTTCACTTCCAGATCAGATGAACAAACCTTCCAGGTTATTCTACCGGCTGCAGTGAGAGGGACGTAATGATTCCTCGCGGCTCTGCTTGACATGTTTCCTCTCTCGGTTCTCATCCATTCCATTCCGTCCAGCAATTTTGTAACGTTCCTGGAGTTTCGGTGTTCATTTGTTCAAATGCTAATTTTTCTAAACACGCTATAACGTTTATGGAACAAGGATAGGCTAATGTTGGAAATGAATGACGAACCACTCTTTGCAAAAACAAAACATACAAACATGTATTCCTTAAATAGGAAAAAATGACACTTGCTTTTTGAGAGACTGTTTTGAGAATCTATCTATCGATCTATCTATCTATCTATCTATCTATCTATCTATCTATCTATCTATCTATCTATCTATCTATCTATCTATCTATCTATCTATCTATCTATCTATCTATATATGTTTTTGTTTAGATAACTACTACGTAATTACTAAAATGCTTGGAATCAACATCACATCTCTAAGAAGGATCTCTCTGTTTCTTATACTCACAGTCTTAAAGAGTATCCATCCAATAGACAATGAACAATTAAATATCTAGTATTTTTATATATCAAAACGTGTATGTGTATTTAATGAACTTGTTCCACATTTTCCTAGTTTCATCTTCCGAGGTGCATGAATCTGGTAAGCCTGTTGTTGAGACCTTTCTGACACAAATCCAAGCACACGAGCCCTTTCCCCGCTATCTGGCGCCATCTAGTGTTCATCCTTGTATTTCGCCAACACTGGCGATTGAGGGTGTGTTTATTGCACTGGGTATGTGTGTGTGTGAGCGTGTAGAGAGAGAGAGAGCGCGATAATTTATTACAGTGCGCATTTGTTTGCTGTATTGTGTGTGTGTGTGTGTGTGTGTGTGTGTGTGTACGCGCGCGCACGCCAGCGCGTGACGTGACGTTTTATGGCAGTGTGAGAATGTGTTTTAGTGTTCTTCTAAAGCACGTTTTATTGCCGTGTGAGTGCTTGTGCGACCGTGTGCGCAGAGTATCTTTTCTTCCACTTTTATCAAGTCACACCAACATTCGCCACTCACCAACAGATGTGTGCTTTAGCTTTTAAATATTTATAAAACCTCTTAAATGTTGTATGCAGCAAAGCACACACATTGCAGCCGCAGATAACAGGAAAGACAGGGAGGGGTTCTCGGCCCGGTGGCAGTGAAACGTAAAAGAATGTAGGGGCTGTAAATTCTCCTAGCTGTTCTTGCTGCTCTTTGAAGTGTCTGCGTTTGGGGGAGATTTGTGGCACAGATGCACTCACTGAAAAAAATCTGTGGCCTGAAGGGCTTATATTCCTCCATCTCTGCTTTCTTGCTTCTTGTAATCTATCCAGAATATCAACATTTGACCACTCCAAGGTTATTTCATTGTACATGGAATGAAGTGCGTCGAGGCCTTAGTGCGAGCCGAGCTGTGTGTGTCCTCGCCAAAACCCACAGCCAGTTTTTAACGTCATGCTGACCTTTTTTATTTCTTTGGCGTTCTCTCTTAGGAAGTACATACTCCAAGCAATAAGTGTTTATTTGGACTGGTAGTGGGCATAGTAACCGGAAAGAGTGTGTTTGTGAGAGAGAGAGAGAGAGAGAGAGAGAGAGAGAGAGAGAGAGAGAGAGAGAGAGAGAGAGAGAGAGAGAGAGAGAGAGAGAGAGAGAGAGAAAGAGAAAGAGAAAGAGAGAAAGAGAGAGAGAGAGAGAGAGAGGGGGGGGGGGGGGGGGGTCGGGGAGGGAATGCTTGGAGATTGTATGACTGTTTAATGTCATAAAGAGTGAATGTGTGATATGGGTTGTCTCTTAGTCTTTGTGTTTATTTCAGGGCTCTACTGTTTTGCACCTAAGTAATATGATTTCTAAGTAATTTCAGTCACAAGATTGAGTTTCCATAATGTAAAAAAGTACAGCCACTCTCATTTTATTTGCATAGCTGTGGCATTTATAACTTCAGTGATTTATATTTCAGAACACGGATAATTACAGATTTTGAATTATTGTTAACATATAAATATATACGTTCAAAGATATACTTAAAGAGCTTAAAATAAAATTAAAATTAGTTTTAGCTATTCTTTGATCAACCTAAAACAAATCGTATTATTGTTGTTACAAACAGATAACATTAGGCATTATTACCATCCACATACTCAAAAATCCCTTGTTATGAGTGGCTGACAAAGCTTCTGAAAATCAATAAGGCTTTTATCCATTAGGTTTATGATGTTAGTGAAATCTGATACGAACGTAAAAATACATAAAGAACGGGCCGTTTTTCTTTAGGCCAAGTGTGTTTGATTTACTAATTTATAATTGACATCTCCATTTGTTTTGTATGTTGTCTAAAATGTAGTTCTCGGATTTTTACATATAGAGACGCGCACGTTTAGCTCTAAATGACATGCATTTATTGCACTTTGCTTTGACCACATGTTAAAGTTTAGCATGTGGTAGAACAGCATTCATAAATTAACAGCAG